TTTCAAAATCTCCCCTCCCCCCACCGCATCCCAAAACCAGTCCAACTCGTCCCTGCCTCCCTAACCTGTTCTTCCTCCCACCTATCCCCTCCTCCCACCCCAAGCCGCACCTCCATCTCCTACCGACCAACCTCATCCCGCCCCCTTGACCTGTCCGTCCTCCCTGGACTGACCTATCCCCTTCCTAACTCCCTACCTACACTCACCTTTCCTGGCCCCATCCCCGCCTCTTCGACCTGTTTGTTTCCTCTCCACCTATCCGCCTCCCACTCTCTCCCTATTTATTTCAAAACCCCCTTCCCCTCCCCCTTTTCTGATGAAGGGTCTAGGCCCGAAACGTCAGCCTCTCTGCTCCTATGATGCTGCTTGGCCTGCTGTGTTCATCCAGCCCTGCACCTTGTTATCTCTGATAGTGCATCTGCTTCAGTACTGCATTGGAACGTATTGATCTTGCACTCAAACTTGAAGGGAAAGGTTTCTCACCTAGAGTGTGGTAAGAATCTGGAATGCATTGCCTGGGAGTGTAGTTGAGACAGGAAACCTTTAAAATGTATGTGGATGAGCACTTAAGATATCTTCCATTCAAGGCTGTAGGTAAAGTGCTGGAAAGTAAGATTAGTATAGATAGTTCAGCGTAGAATCAATGAGCCAAAGGATCTCCTCTGTGCTGTATGACTCTATGATCCTCTGGTGGCTTGGCTGCTTTTTCCACTTACCCAATTTTTTTTGAACATTTAGTTCTTTTAAATATGTGGCTGGTTGGATCTTGTTGACTATGAGATCCTTGTCTGGGGTTGTTAACCTGGGCCAATTGGGAAGCCCTGGCTAACCAATATAAACAGGAGTTTTAGAATCCAGCAGGCCAAGCAGCACCATAGGAGCAGAAAGGCTGACGTTTCGGGCCTAGACCCTTCATCAGAAATGGGGGAGGGGAAGGGGAAGGGGAAGGGGGTTCTGAAATAAATAGGGAGAGAGGGGGAGGCGGATAGAAGACGGATAGAGGAGAGGATAGGTGGAGAGGAAACATACAGGTCGAAGAGGCGGGGATGGAGCCAGTAAAGGTGAGTGTAGGTGGGGAGTTAGGGAGGGGATAGGTCAGTCCAGGGAGGACGGACAGGTCAAAGGGGCAGGCTGAGGTTAGTAGGTAGGAGATGGGGGTGCGGCTTGAGGTGGGAGGAGGGGATAGGTGGGAGGAAGAACAGGTTAGGGAGGCAGGGACGAGCTGGGCTGGTTTTGGGATGCGGTAGGGGGAGGGGAGATTTTGAAGCTTGTGAAATCCTACGCTCGGTTCGCAATAAACAACTGCACCTCCCAGTCGCGAACCATTTCAACTCCCCCTTCCATTCCTCAGACGACAGGAGGCCCAGGATGGACATGCAGTGCCACAACGATGCCACCCGAAGGTTGCAGGAACAGCAACTCATATTCGGCTTGGGAACCCTGCAGCCCAATGGTATCAATGTTGATTTCACAAGCTTCAAAATCTCCCCTCCCCCTACCGCATCCCAAAACCAGCCCAGCTCGTCCCCGCCTCCCTAACCTGTTCCTCCTCCCACCTCAAGCCGCACCCCCATCTCCTACCTGCTAACCTCATCCCGCCCCCTTGACCTGTCCGTCCTCCCTGGACTGACCTATCCCCTCCCTAACTCCCCACCTACACTCACCTTTACTGGCTCCATCCCCGCCTCTTCAACCTGTCTGTTTCCTCTCCACCTATCCTCTCCTCTATCCATCTTCTATCCGCCTCCCCCTCTCTCCCTATTTATTTCAGAACCCCATTCCCCTCCCCCATTTCTGATGAAGGGTCTAGGCCCAAAATGTCAGCCTTTCTGCTCCTATGATGCTGCTTGGCCTGCTGTGTTTATCCAGCTCTGCACCTTGTTGTCTCGGATTCTCCAGCATCTGCAGTTCCTACTGTCTCTGATTCAGTTTTAGAATCCCCTCAGTTCAGGGGACTGACTCCGAGCTGGCTGGTCACAGCCAGTGTAGTGTGCACAAGTAAATAAAGGGGAACTTGGTGAAGGAATACCGGTCTCTGTGCAGTTATTTCAGTGGTGATGAAAGTGGGATCCCATGACTTACAAAGTTTTGGTAGGTGAGGCAGCCCTGAGAAACATGTGGACCACCTGAAAGCTGTTACCTCACAAGCAGGGCAGGAACAAAACATACCTGGTCCCTTAGAACAGCCGGAAGGCCTGTCAGAAACAATAGGTTCTCCCACTCTGTCTAGTATGGAGGAAACCTCAGAGTCCCAGATGGATGCAGCCTCGATACCTTTACCACTGGAAGAAGAGGAGGGAAATCTCCCGATACGGTCTGGACACAAGAGATGGGCTACAGTCCAGTACATACCGCCTGTATCAGCGTCCGAATCACAGAAGGGCAATAATGTCGCAGGAAAAGCTACAAACAACCAGGCCTACATCCCTGGACTTAGTGGGGTGAGGGATGTAGTGATTGGAAGCAGGTGGACCTCATTGACTACAAGATCCTTGCCTGGGGTTGTTATCCTGGGCCATTCAGGGAGCCCCAGGCTGACCAATGTAACCAGCAGATTAGAATCTCCTCCATTCAAGGGACTGGCTCAGAGCTGGCTGGCCACAGTCAGTGTTCTGTGCACAAGTAAATAAAAGGTGACTTAGTGGTGGGATACCGGCCTCTGTGCAGTTTTTTCAGATAGCCTTCCCTTGTTTACTTTAATTGGATAGAAAACCAGCCTCCATGCTAATTAAAGGGAGCGAGCTAATCAAAATCCAGTGAGTGCCTCTTTCACCCCAGGCTAGTGTCCTGTCTTGGGGAGACAGGGCACTTCCAGTATTTCACTGTCAAAGTGAAAATTCAGCCTTTAGACTTTGCAGCTTGTGTAGTACGTTTTCAGGTTTAGGTTGAAGAGGTATTTAACTATTTAATATTCTCCCAGTGTCATGTTGGATGTACATTATTCAAATAATTTAATCAGAATACACAAATTTATCACCGAACTCCTTCCTCTGCATAAACTGATTTCTTTTATGCCACAGTGATAACCTTTCAAACATTGGGAACTACAGGAATTTGCTATGATGCAATGCATTTAGAAGAAGTGAAACACACAGTGATTAAGGTGCAATTTCAAAGAGATACTTTTTCAATTGTGTACTTTTGACTCCTGCCCCTCAACATTATTTTAGTAATTAAGGATTCAGGAGGACTATCAGCCACATCAAACCCAGAACTTGGAAAATTTACATCGTCATGAATCCAAAATGCATTGGTTGTTTTTCAAAGTATGGGAAAATCTCTGTCGGAAAAAGCCACCAATCTCCTAAACAATGGCATTTATGAAATGTTTTTAATTGGATTTCTCAAAGTGTTTGATGAAGTACTTTTTGAAGTGCAGTTACCATTGTAGGAAACATGACAAGTAATTTGCATTGGTGAACCCACATAAACAGCAGTGCGTTCATGTCTAATTTTTTCCTGGTGATAATTATTGAGGAAAAAATATGGACCAAGATGCCAGGCTAAACTCTCCTGCTTGACTTTAAAAGAACTCTTTCACACTTTCTAGATTCAGCTGAGGTGGCTGATGGGGTCCTTAATTTAATATCTCATCCAAAAGCCAACACCTCTGACAGTGTTGCACTGGAATGCATTGATCTTTTGCTCAAACCTTGAAGTGGCACTTGAACTCAGACTTTGTGATCCAGGGTGGAAGTGTACTCTCAACTGAGTTATTGCTGGTATAGGTGAGGGGCTGTTCTTATTTCCTGCCTGATTTCTTAATTGTGAGAAGTGAGCCTTTTTTGCCCAGTTGGATTCTCGCTTGTATCATTTATCAAGCAGGTCTAACTCTGGTCCCACTTATTAAAAAATGTTCAGGAGATTTAGGCATCACTGCCTGGGCCAGCACTTATTACCCATCCTTCATTGCCCTTGAGAAGGTGGTGGTGAGCTGCCTTCTTGAACTGCTGCAGTCAATTTGGTACGAGTATGCCATTAGGGAGGGAGTTCCAGGATTTTGACCCAACGTCAGTGAAGGAACAGCGATATATTTATTAGTCAGGCCGATGTGTGTCTTGGAGAGGACCTGCAGGCAAATGTGTTCCTATGTATCTGCTGCCCTTAACCTTCTTGATAGCAGTAGTCATTTGGAATGTGCTGTCTAAGGAGCCTTCGTGAAACTCTGCAGTGCATCTTGTATTTGGTACACACTGCTGCTACTGAGTGTCAGTGGCAGAGGGAGTGAATGTTTTGTGGATATGCTGCCAATCAATTGGGATGCTTTGTCCTGGATGGTGTCAAGCTCCTTGAGTGTTGTTGGGGCTACATCCATTCAGGCAAGTAGGGACAATTCCATCACCCTCCTGACTTGTGCCTTGTAGATGGTGGCCAGGCTTTGGGGAGTCAGAAAGTGAGTTACTTGATGCAGGATTCCTAGCCTCTGACTTGCTTTTGTAGTCACTATGGCTAGTCCAATTCAGTTTCTGGTCAATGGCAGTTCAGAATGCTTCCGCTTAGGTTTTCTGATACAAGCCTTTGTTCTTGACTAAATGTGCTGGGCCTCTTTTCCTTAAATGTATGTTTCTTATGGCTCTCATACCACAATACCCATGTATTGGACCCATTGGCATTACTTGTTTACTTATTCATGGGATGTGGTCTTTGCTGACAATGTCAGCATTTGTTGCCTATTCCCTAACTGACCCTGACAATTAACCATATTGTTGGGGGTAGAGTTGCCAACTGTGATTAAATGTATTCCTGGAGGTTTCTTCACATGATGTATTCCTGAACTCTAGTCATTGGTCGACAGTGCATCTGTCCTTGTGACATGCTGTCTCCTGACTCCAATTGCAAAGGAGAAAATGTCATTATCCTATTCGTGATGTCAACCATTTTTTGTTTCCCATTTTCAACATTTTTGTATCCAGTAAATAGAAAAGTTGAAAGAAAATTATTTTAAAAAACTAAAAAAACTTTTCTCCTGGATTGCACACAGTTTTGGGGATTGATCTCCAATTTCTAGAATCTCCAGGCCAATTCTAGAGAGTCAGCAACCCTCTCTATGGAGTCACATGTAGACCAGAGCAGTTAAAGGAGGCCACTTTCCTTTCCTAAAAATCAAGTTTAAAAAATATTCATTCATGGGATGTAGGTGTTGGTGGCTGGCATTTGTTACCCATCCCTAATTGCCCTGGAGAAAGTGGTGACAAGTTACCTTCCTAAACTACTGCATTCCTTGGGCTGTAAGGCCACCCATAGTGCTGTTAGAAACAGAATTAGTGAACCTGATGGGATTTTGCAACACGAGATTAGCTTTTAATTCCAGAGTTCTTTTTAAAAATGGTGAAGTTTATTAATTTAATTTTATCTTTGCCAACTGCAATGGTGGGATTTTAACTTATGTCTTCAAACTCTGGGTTAATACCCAAGGAATTTTGCAATACACCACCATCTCAGACAACAAAAAGTGCTAAAGAAGACATTACAGAGTTTCAGGCCTTGACTGGACATTGTTACTGATGTGTCTCACTGGTTGTCTGACTGGATGAGTTGAACATTTCTCAAACAAGATATTGGGTAGATTGAAGGCACTGTTTTTTTGCAGTCTCATTTTCATCATTGTCAACTGTTGGAAGTTGAGCCAGACTCTTTACAGCCCTGGTGTTGTGATCCTGTTACCCCACCATGTATCTGCTCTATCACTAAGACAGGCCATCTTCCACCTTTGTAATACCATCAGATGCCAAAATCCCTGCTTGTACCTTTGTTACCTCCAAGCTCCCATTCTTGGCCAACATACCCTCCATTAATTCTGTTGCCCCATCATAGTTATGTTCAGCCAGTACTTCCCTACCTAAATCATTAGGGGCATGGATAGGGTGAATAGCCCTAGGTGAGTCCAAAGCTAGAAGGCATACAGGTTTAAGATTTAAGAAAGACCTGAGAGGTAACATTTTTATGCAGAGTGTGGTGCGTGTATGGAATGAACTACCAGAGGGATTGAAAGAGATAGGTTCAATTACACTATTTAAAAGGTATCTGGATGACTCTACTGAGTGATAATCGCTCGCAGTCTGATCACAATTCAGATCTAATATTACCTTCTTGTTTTCAAAGCCCTGTCCCTATATCGGTAACCTCTGTCAGGGATACAATGAAAATGTTTGAGATCGCTGACACCTTTGCTTCAAGCTCCTTATGTATCCCTGATTTTAGTAATATCATCATTTGTAGCCTTGCTTCCAGATGCTTGAGTCTTAGGCCCTGAAATTGCCTCCCTAAACTTCTCTCTCTGCCTTACTCTTCTCCTTTAAGATACTTATTGAAACCTTCTTTGATGAAGCTTTTGGTTCTGATATCTGGTTCTGTGATTTGGCGTCTGAAATGTTTTCATTTGGGAGAGGCGATGGCCTAGTGGTATTATCACTGGACTGTTAATGCAGATAACATTCTGGGAACATGGGTTCAAACCCCGCCACAGCAGGTGGTGGAATTTGAATTCAATAAATATCTAGAATTAAGAATCTAATGATGACTGTGAATCAATTGTCAGGAAAAATCCACCTGGTTTGCTAATGTCCTTTTAGAGAAGGAAACTGCCAAACCTTACCTGATGTGGCCTACATGTGAGTTCAGACCCACAACGATGTGATTGACTCTAAACTGCCCTCTGGGCAATTAGGGAAGGCCAATAAATGCTGCCTGGCCAGCAATGCTCTCATCCTGCAAATGAATATAGGAAAAAAAATTTATTGCTAGTGCTTCTTGTTTCAGTAACTTTAAGACTTACCTACTGTCAGCAGAGCAAGGAAACTTGAGAAGGCCAGGACTGGAGGAGCATTCAGATCTCACAGATTGGAGAGCTGGATAATATAACAGAGATAGCATGGAGTGATTACAAAACAAGGATGAAAATATCAAGTGAAAGTGAAACACTGTGGATGCTGGAAATCTGAAACAAACACAGAGACTGCTAGAGAAACTCAGCAAGTCTGGCAGCATCGGTGAAGAGAGAAACAGAGTTAATGTTTTGAGTCCAATATGACTTTTTCAGAATTGAAAATGAAAATATCAAAATCTTTTTTGCTATGTCTGAAAGACTTCATGCAGAAGATTAAAGGAAGACAATTTTTCTTCATAAAGTGTATATTATGTCTACATTTTAGAAATGTTGCTGTTTAGAATGCATTAGAAGTCAATGAGAAAAGGAAACAAGTGAACTAGAGGTGCCAATACTTTCTGTGACCACTGGATGGTGCCAATATTCACTTTTCATTCAATTCCCAGATTAGTTTTAACTCAAGAGTGGGACCAATTAATTATTTTGTAAATCCTCCACTGAAACAGTTAACTTGCTGAATTCTGACCCAGCAATTCTGCATTGCTGTCCATGCAAGTATTTTGCTGCCGAATAATTACATCATTCTGTTTGCCTGTCCTGCATAGCTCAGGCTATGAATTTCTCTGTTTATTTGGTCGCAGACTGTCTATTGATGGTGAATGGATTTTGTGTTGTTTTTATATATTGTGCATGGGCAGTGTCGGATGTAGCACAAATTCTGCCATCTACTGGGGAAGGGAGCACAGTGAGGCGGAAGAGACACTAGCTAGGAGCAGTAAGAGATACGAACCTAGCCAACAACAGGAGTAAGCGAGTCTCCCAGCTGCTGAAGGCAGCCCCTGGCCAGACACAATCTTTTATGGGTTTGCTTTGGCTTCTTTCTTTCCTTCATTCTTCTCTCTTTGGAAATGAGGTAAGGCAGTTGTTCAAAATCTTCTGTGCTAAAGTGGGTGTGCTTCTCACTATGTCTGTGGTTCGCTGTTGTGTATGTATACAGTTAATTAGCAATCGCAAAGAGCTGTCTGCCAGGTTGTTACATCGTTCATGAACAGCGGCACCCAAGGAGAGATGCTGAACGTTTTGTTTCCCTTTGTGATTCTCCTCATCTTCCTTGTGCTGATCAGTCAGTGTGTTTTTTTTTGTGGGTTGCATATTTGGAACCATTTAGTAACAAGTCTTGATTTGTGTAGACAGGATGAAATTATGCATCTGTACCGATACATCCACGCGTGGAATGATGTTTATCTCCCCTAGGCTACTCTGTTCGTTCTTTCTTTCTCTCTTCAAAGGTAATATCTGTCCCTGGTCGAAAGCTGTCCCCTTATACTGGGCGTTGGAACAGGTTAAAAATAATACAAAATATGGGAAAATTCTGGAAACGCGCAGCAATGTCTTAAAAAAATTAAAGGCCGTTAAGTAGGTGACATTCTCTGTAACTGGAAGGTTAGCTGCCTGTCTTCCTTCAATTTTGAAATTGACAATTGCTATGTACTGCCACTTTTTTTTCTTGTTTAAGGGCTATTTTTGCATTGACATAGTGTTATGAAAATTGGGAACCAGGCCAGCTATTCCCCTGATTATTTGCAGGGTACCTTGTACACAATATTGGATGTTTGGGATAGGAAAAGACGTTGTAAACTGCCAGGGTGTAGCAGGCTATGGGCAAGTGCAGGTAAGTAGGATAAGAGATAGTAGGAACTGCAGATGCTGGAGAATCCGAGACAACAAGGTGCAGGGCTGGATGAACACAGCAGGCCAAGCAGCATCATAGGAGCAGAGAGGCTGACGTTTCGGGCCTAGACCCTTCATCAGAAAAGGGGGAGGGGAAGGGGGTTTTGAAATAAATAGGGAGAGAGTGGGAGGCGGATAGAAGAGCGATAGAGGAGAGGATAGGTGGAGAGGAAACAAACAGGTTGAAGAGGCGGGGATGGGGCCAGGAAAGGTGAGTGTAGGTAGGGAGTTAGGAAGGGGATAGGATAAGTCTGGTTTGATGTTTAGTGATTGATATGGACATGGTGGGCCAAAGGGCCTGTTCCTATGCTATGTGGCTCTATTTTATATGTGGTGGAAAAGAGAGGAACTGCAAGCTTTCATCTGACCCTTCCCCAAACACACACACCACCAGTCCTGACCACCCCTTGGCTTTCTTATCTCTTCCCTGACTCCTTCTAGACTAAATATTTCACACATGCAGGTAGCGACCATTTGTCAGGCCAAACTATTCAACTGCAGCTAGCATCACTCACCATCATTTATGCCCATATCCTGACCACTCCTCCATTCATGTGCAATCATCAGCGGGCTGGGTGGGGTGGAATCCTGGATAAGATGTCTGGTTCTTTGTCTGGCTTGGCACAGAACTTGCTGTGGTCCTGGGAGCAGCAGAACAGCATGCTTCACTCCAATGCGATACCAGAATATTACCTGCATAAAATATGAAATTGCTAATAGACTGCAATCACGCTGCATAATATAAATAATAAATGACTTAATGTATTTGAATGAATTCCTATGAAAGTTCCACTTGCCTGTTTCTTTATTCGCAAGTTTCTGTCTAAAGCAGCATTCTATTGGTCAGGCATGGAGCAGGAAAGCTGGGATTCACTTTAATTGAATGTATGGGGAACAGCATGCTCATTGTTGGTAAGACTCCATTGATAAAGTGGGGACTGTGCTTGATAGAGGACAGCAGGTAGCAAAATGTGAAAGGGCCAACTGTCTTGCTTGGGAGCAAGGTTTCTTCACAGCACTGATTGCTGCGAGTATCAAAGAGTTTGAAAGAAAGAACGTTCATTTATTTAATGCTGTTTTTCAGTTAATGATGCACTTTTTGGCCAATGAAGTGCCTTGCTCTGAACAGTTGCAATGAGGATGGTTACTAGGAATGAGGCCTAACAACAATTGAAAATGCTAGAAAGTGGTTAGCACTGTTGCCTCACAGCACCAGGGACCAGGGTTCGATTCCAGCCTCGGGTGACTATCTGTGTGGAGTTTGCACATTCTCCCCGTGTCTGTGTGGGTCTCCTCTGGGTGCTCCGGTTTCCTTCCAGAGTCCAAAGATGTGCTGGTTAGGTGGATTAGCCATGCTAAATTGCCTGTAGTGTTCTGGGATGTGTAGATTAGGTGGGTTATAGGGGTATGTGTCTGGGTGGGATGCTCCTAGGGTCGGTGTGGACTTGTTGGGCCGAAGGGCCTGTTTCCACACTGTAAGGATTCTATGAAAACCAAGCTGCATCTGTAGTGAGGGAGATGTGGGGGTTAATGTTTCAGATTGATTGACTTTAATTATAACTGGACAAAAAAAACTGGTTAGAACTGGTTAAGAAACAACAGCAATCTAAACAAGTGTGGTTGGGGGGAATGGGCAGGGAATAAACTGGAAGGAAAGGGCTTTTGCAAGGTACCATATCTAGACCAGACCTAGAATACTGTGAACAGTTTTGGGCCCCTTTTTGTAGGAAAGATATACTGGCTTTGGAGGCAGTCAGAGAGGGCTAATTATATTGATTCTGGGAATGGAGGGTTTTTTAATGGGGAGAGGTTGAGTAGGTAGGGCTTGGACTCACTGGAGTTTAGAGGAATGAAGGGGGGACCTAATTGAAACATACAAGATGCTTAGTGGGTTTGACAGAGTAGATGCAAAGAGGTTGTTTCCCCTTGTGGGAGAGTCCAGAACCAGAAGGTGTAATCTCAGAGTAAGTGGTTGCTCAGTTCGGAAAGATATGACAAGGGGTTTCTTCTCTCGGAGAATAGTAAATCTGTGGAATTCTTTACTGCAAAGGG